CCTAGGTCAACTATACAAAAATGCCATGTAAACCTAATGCTACCAAGTTGTTGAGTTGGAAGATTGACTTCCATATACAAACCAATCTACCTCTACAATAGATGTAGGAAATCCCTAAGGAGAAATGCAAAAAACTTGTGATGTTAGGAGATGCTATCTTCATCCATGCTTTGACATCTATTGCAGAGAAAGCTAAGGTGAAGATAGCAAGCAAAAGGTTCCCAATAGATGAGAAGGGTTGTTGCTTGCTGAAGGTGACAGAAGGGAGTGAGCATTGTCTTCCTTCACATGGATGCCTGTGGACTTCAACTGAGTTCTGTCTGATAGAGAAGGAACTGTCATGATTGAGCTTTGCTGGTGGAGGCTGCTGAGGAGAATGCAGGATGATTAGGTTTGTTTCCCTATTGTTTTCCTATTGTAGATGCTGCAGCTACATTGTGTCCAAGTACTGTGAGTGTTGCTGCTTCAAAGATAGCATGGAGCAACATATTTGAAACTGTTGTTGACTGAGCACTGAAGGTATTGAAGACATCCCAGATGAGCTGTTGAATGGAACAAGGTTGAAGCTGATTTGAGAGACTTGGAGCAGTTTATGTACTTTTAGCAGAATGAGCTTCATAGAAGCTAATACCACTAACTGTAAGCACATAAACTGTCCAAGTCTGCTCAGAAAACCTGCAAAAATTAACAAACATGTTAGTGAAAGAGAGCTGAATCTCCAGGTTCTTGTGTCAACTGGAGATGAGTCTGGGGGCAGGGGAGCTTTGATGATCCCTGATTTATGAGAGAAAGCTGATTGCAGGTTCTTGTGTGGACTGCAATCAGCTTTATAGGTGTTGCTCATGTTGTGGAATCAAAACTGAATTGAAAAGGCATTACTGCAGGCATTTGGATTTCTGCAGCAATGATGAAAACAGTTTGGTTGGTATGGTTGTTTGGGCTGGGCTGAAGTGTAAAGCAGTAGAATGGAATGAGATAGCCTTCAGGTAAAACTGCTGCTTTCTGCATTTTCTGTTGCCTTTGTGTGGTGATGTGCCTGAGGGGTTGATGTTGGTGTGTCAGTTGGTATGGTTCCAGGAGAATAAACACTAGAAGTGCTAATACCACTCCCAAAAACCATATCAATTGAGTGATACAAGCAAGGGAAAGAGTACCTGCAAAATAGAAAACAGTGTTAGTGAAAAACAGAACATTTTTGCCCAGTTTTGTGAGGTTGTTGTGTTTAACAGGTTCGGGGGATTGTGCATGGTTGGGGTGCCAAGAGAAGGGAGGTTCTCCTAGGTTCTTGTGGGTTCTATAAGCATTGATGATAAGGGTGAAAGGTGCCTGGGTAGGTGTACATCTGAGCGGTGTGGGTTGCATTTGTTTCAGGTGTTTCTCAGTTTTTTGGAAGAGGTTTTTGTGTTGTTGGTGATCATCTGGTGTTCTGTTGTGATATATGGTGTAGAAGGGAGGTGTTTTCCTATGAAGGTATGCATGTGTGATGTGATCTTTGTTGAGGCCAAGATCATTCCACAGTATACAGAAAGCCAATGCTAGAAAAAAGGCATATTGAAGAGTGAGTTCTATGCCTTGTGGATTTTGCTTCTCTCTATGACCTACATCAGTCCTTTGGACTTACTTAGGTGATGAGGTCTTGGATACTGAGAACTTTCCTTCTTTATGATCTATACTAGACCTGTGTTTGTTGTTTCAGGAGGATGAGCACATGTGCTAATACCACACCCTGAAACAAGCCACAAAGGAATGTAAGGTTCATAAGGAAGGGAACCTGCAAAAAACACACAGAATTAGTAGAGATAAATCTGGGCTGACTGATTCCACAACTGTACAAGAGGTATTTCATTTGGACTGATAAATTGGACCCCTTCTTTGATGATGTTTCAACCTTAACCATTAGATGGAGCTTGCATTTTGAGAGGATACTATCAGCATTGTTGGTTTTCTTGTGCCTGAAAGCTGGGTACCCAATTGGTCATGGAGAACTTGGCCTCTGATGTGGGGTGGGAGAGAGGAAGCAGTGGTGAAATTCTGTAGAGTGTTGAGGTCATGGCTAAGTTTTGAGAGGGAATTAGCAGGGCAGTTTGCTTCTCTATATACATGAGAAGCTTTGAACCCCTCAAATTGAGAGCACAAAAAGCCTTAGGTGGGAAATCTTTTCTTTCAAAACCCATGGGAGAATCATTATCCTCTGTCAGCCAACCTAACAAGTAGGCAGAATCTGCTTCTAAATGAACTCTGGAATTCCATTTTCCAAACACATTGAACTCCTATCCTGGCTGCTTCAGTTTCAGCATAATTGTTGGTACCCTCTCCCAAAGGAAAGGCCATTGCATGAATAAAGTGGCCCTGTTGATCTCTAATAATGACACCTCCTCCAATCTTTCCAGGATTTGTCATAGCACTTCCATCTGAATTGATCTTTACAAAGCCCTTGTCTGGTTTAGTCCATTGACTTGGGTTATCGTAGTGTGATGCTGAATGTTTTCAATGAAGGAGTAGACTTCCCCCCAGTTGAAAGGCCATTAGATGACAGGAAATTGACCTTAGGAGTAGGTTGATGTCTGAGTTTATGTGAGTAAAGGACCCTAGTTAGGGAGGTGTTTTTTGCTCCATACTTGGCACTACATCTATTTTTCAACAAATTCCAACAGATGAATGATGGGAGGGTATCTAGAATGAGCTTTTGCACAGAATTACAGGCCTTCATCATCCACCACTTCATAAGGAGCAACCTCATAGGCAAGTTCTCAGTTTGGATGCCCACATGACCCCCATATTTTTTTCCATACGATCCTAGCAAAGTTCCCAAAACTGAAGAGGTGTTCCATCTTCCAAAGCATCGCATAGAGCAGCATACACACCTGGACATAAATCTATAAGATTGCCACTCTGTCATCAGTTGGGAGTTTGTTTCTAAGGGCTCTCCACAAACAAAAGGACCACTTAAAGGGAATTTTCTTATGCCAGATCATCCTATTTCTGAAGCAGGGTTGTTTTTCGTTCTGATGAGATCCCATGCAGAGGTACATGTGAACTTTCCCCTGACAGTAGGAGTCCAGATAGGTTTATCAGGGAGATCAGGGTTGTAATATATAGTTGTCTGCATGATCTCTGATATTTTGTGAGCTGGTGCAGTTCCATTGAGCTTTTGGAGATCCCAGCGACCTTCATTCTAGAAATTGGACACTGATGTGTTGCCAGGTCTGCTCCCTTTAGTTCTGCTGAATGCAAGTGGCCTAGAGCCAAGCCAATTGTCCCACCAGAAACTGTATTTCCCATTGTGGAGCCTCCATTGGATTACTTTTTCTGCTTCTTTCTTATTGAACATCATTCGTTTCCATGCTTGTGACTGGCCTGAATCCCATTTCTTGGATATTGGATTTGATCTTTGATAGTACTTTGCCTTTAGGAATGAACTCCAAAGAGAGTTTGCTGTTCTGAATTGCCACCATTGCTTGAATTCCATGGCTTTACATGAGTCTTGAATGGTTCTGAAACCCACACCACCTTCATTTGGAGGGAAGGATAGTTTGAACCATGATGCCCAGTGATACTTGTGTTTGTCCTTATCCATTCCCTAGAAAAGGTTGGCTGTCAACCTTTCAATTTGCTTTATGACAATCTTAGGAGGGGACATAGGTGAGAGGAGATGAATTGGTAGGGATTGGAGGACATATTTGATCAAGGTTGCCCTGCCTCCATTGGAAAGCATTTTGCCATGCCAGCCTTTGATTCTTCCTAGCACCTTAGAGATAAGGCCATTGAAGTGCATAATTCTGCTTCTGCTTGTGTATAGAGGGCATCCTAGGTATGTGAGAGGTGAATATTTCCCAGAGAAGCCTGTCTCCCTTTGAATTCTTCTGACTGCACTTGACAGAGCACATGGAGCAGTCATGAAATGGCTTTTGTGCCTATTAATGAGTTGGCCAGATGTGCTCTCATAATTGCTAAGAATCCACATGATTTTCTCCAGGGATGTTCTTCTGCCAGAAGTAAAAATGATGATATTATCAGCAAAGCTTAAGTGGTTAATTTGAGGTCCCCTTTTCTCCATATAGAATCCATGAAATAGCTGATCATGATTCAGCAAGTGTAGCATTTTGGATAGGAGTTCAACTCCTATGATGAATAGGGAAGGAGCAAGTGGATCACCCTGTTTGAGGCCTCTTGTAGATTGGAAAAAACCATATCTGGTGCCATTAACTATGACTGAATACCAGTTATTGGACATTGTTCTCCAGATCAAGTCAATGATCATTTCACTGAAGCCCATTCTCCTGAGCATAATGCAGGTAAAACTCTAAAAGACTCTGTCATAAGCCTTAGCCATGTCAAGCTTGATGACCACATTTGATCCCACAGTTGGCTTCTTGATACCATGCACTATTTCTTGTGCAAGCATAATGTTTTCAGAGATGTTTCTTCCCTTAACAAAGCCTGATTGATTTGCAGAGATTATCTTTGGAAGGATAGGGCCAAGTCTTGAACAGATAAACTTCGAAATGATCTTGTTGATAAAATTGCTGAGACTGATTGGCCTAAATTCTGTGAGACTGTTAGGGAATTCAACTTTAGGAAGGAGAACAAGGCATGCATTGGTCATATATCTGGGCATTGGACTGCCTCTAAAAAATGCTAGCACCACCTTGAGTAAGTCTTCCTTGATCACTTCCCAGCAGGCTTGGTAAAACTTCCCATTCATACCATCAGGTCCTGCTGCAGTAGTAGGATTCATGGAGAATACAATGTCCTTGAGCTCTGACATAGATGGGGTCTTCAGTGAGTACTAGCATTGTCATCACTAGTTATCATGGTTGGAATAATGGACAGCAAGTCTTCTCTAATAACTGAGCCAGGATCTGTGAACAGGTTTTGAAAGTAGTCACAGGCAGCCTTCCCAATGTTTTCATCACCCTGAAACCACTCACCTTCTTCATTTTGATTTTGTGGATGTACAATTTCCTTCTTCTTCCTCTGATTAAGCTGTGGAAGTATCTTTAATTGGCATCCCCTTCTTTAAACCATTGCAGTTGTGTTTTCTGTTTCAGAACATCTTGCTCAACCTTCAGATGTCTAACATACTGAGCCTTAAGCTCATTGAGAGATATTCTGTCAGCATCATTGTTTGTTTGGGCCCAGATCAGCTCTGCATCCTTCACTTTTTGTTCATATTCTTTGGTTTTTTGGAAGATATCCCCATATTGTTGTCTGGACCTAGGGCTTAGGGCATGGCTCAGAGCTTTCAACTTCTGGTGAAACACCCACATAGGATTACCTCTGACTTCTCTGTTCCATATTTCTGAAACCAGTGGTAGAAAACTTTTGTTATCCACCCAACATTTGAGAAATTTGAAGTACTTTTTGCCATTATCTTGTCTTGTATGAAGTTCCAATAGCAGGGGGTTGTGATCAGATCTTGCTGAAGCTAAATGAGTAATTGTGGCAGCAGGAAAATCTTCTAACCATAAATCATTGGCTAATCCCCTGTCCAAACTTTTCCATACAATAGCACATTGCCCCCTTTCATTAGACCATGTGACTTTAGACCCATAGAATCCCAGATCCATAAGTCCACAGTCCTCCATCATGCTCAGAAAGTCAAGGCTTTTGGACATTTGGTATGGAATGCCACCAATCTTTTCTTCTACAGAGGCAATGACATTGAAATCTCTAATGACACACCATGGCACATTGCAGGTAGTTGATTTGTGTCTAAGGACTTCCCACAATGGTCTTCTGAGAATTGGCTTACACTTTGCGTAGATGACTGTTAGGTGGAATAGATTGCCATTTTCAACATGCTTCATCTCTAATGACAATTGTTGTTCATCATGATCTAAAACCTTGGCATTGAATTCCTTATCCCAAAACACCCAGATCTTATCATTAACATTAGCAGAAGCTTGATGTATTGAAAGTTGGATTTTAATGGAATTGAGGTGAGAATTGTCTAGGAAAGGTTCAAGGACAACTATGAAAGAGAGGTTATGTATTTGTTTCAGGAGTTTGAGCCTTTCAATGGCTCCAGAGGTCCTGATGCCTCTTGCATTCCATATGATTGTACTAATCATTGGAAAGGGGGTTTTGAGTTGTGTTTTTATGGGACACTGCTGCTTCTAATTCTAGCAGCCCTGCTTCTGGTAAGCCTTGGAGAGGGACTTTTTCTAGCAGATAAGGTGGCAGATGCATCATTTTCCTTATTTTGTTCACCATTAACAGCAGCAATTAGCAGCTCACAATGTTCTTCTTTTTCATGACCATCATCATTAGAGGCAATATCATCATCATGATTTCCAGCACTTTCATCCTCAGACTCAATTGGTCTATACTCATCCTGCTGTGGACATTCCTCCATGACCATATCTAAGGGATTTAAGAGGTGGTTTTTTCTGGGAGTGCTTGGGGAGACAAAGGTGAATTTGTGAGTTTTGGCTTTGGGAGGTTTATCATTAGTGGGAATATCTGTTTCATTGCCATCAGAGCTCAATTCTTTATTGGTTAGAGAAGGTTGTGAGAGTGAGGGATTGGCTATGACTGAGAGCCTATAACTGGGGGATTCAGTAGGATCAAGTCTGAATTTTTCCTGACTTTGAGGGCTCAAAAACTGGGAATCATCAGGGGGCTTATTTAAACTGATTCCTGCATTTCTGTTTCTCATAGCCTTTATTATTTTCTGGCTAGGTTTATTTTTTGATTTCTGAATCTGGACCTAAAAATCAGCAGCAACTTTAGCTTTTCCTTTATGGAGAGCTTTCATTTGTGCAGATGGATTCTCTTCAGAGCTTAAGGACTCAGAGTCTTCCTCCACAGTCACACTATCATATTGATCAACTTGCTGTGTGTCTGAATTGGGGAGTGTGGTAGTAGGGGTTTGTTGGTCAATCCTATGGTCATCCAACTGTGCCTTAGCACACTCATGCAAAACATAAGGAAGCCCCTCCCCTTTTGGAACCCCTTCCTGGCTATCACTAAGTTTCCCCTGACAAGTATCCATTCCTCCAATAACACCACAATCAACAGAACTAGATGGGGGAATAGAGGGAATGGGATGATCCTGGGCAACAGGATCTACACTCCTCTCCAGTTGAGCTGGAGGATTGATAGCAGGTATACCTGAATGTACTGGAGTTTGGGCTGTCTGCTGCTAAATGTCATTTGGGACAACCTTCTGTTGTTTAGCCTCTGGTTGTTTTGGCATGTAAACTTGTTATTGCTTCTTGGGCTGAGTGTTAGCTTTGAAATTCTTCCTTTTCTGAGTCTGCCATTCTTCCTCTGTTGTTTCTTGAGCTGAGTTTTGGTGCTCTGTTGCTTTTTGATGTTGTACTGCCTTTGGATTTTTGCTTTGGTTCTGTTCATTAGTTTTTGGTCTTCCCTCTTGTATAGTTTGCTGCAGTCCCTTGGAGGTACCCGGGGCTGCATTGTGTGGATTACCTGAAACTTTTTGTTCTTCCTCTTTTCTCTTCTTTTAATCCTCATCTTTCAGCCTGATTTCACATGTGTATTCAGAGTGACCTAAATGTCTGCAATGAGTGCAATAGGATGGCAAGCTATCAAACTGGACTTCCAACCATTCTCTATCTCCATTTTCATCCTGCTCCTCATCATATCCAAGCCAGACATGATGGGGTCTTTCCTTTGTTAAATCAATTTGAATCTTGACCTTGGCCACACTTCCCCTTATTTTTTTGGAAAGAAGCCAGATCCAAGTATAAGGCTTTGCCTATAGGAGACAACAGAGGTGTGAGAATCTCCATGTAGTACAAATGCCATGGCAATTCTGGGATCACCACCCATACTAGCACAATGGGAGAGTCTTCATTTGGCTTGAATGCTGGGGACCATGCTTCCAATTTCATCATCTGGCCTTGGATATACATGTACTGCTTACCCCAGACAGTGGAATGATCATACTCATTTTCCAGATCAATATAGACAGTCCTAGCATTGAAATGGGCTATCTTGACTGGTCTTCTGAGTTCAGTCTGAGCAATAAAGCTCTTTCTTATGATTTCCATTCTAGGCATGGTGTTGGAATACTTGCCTACTACTATGAACTTGCACCTATCTGCAAATCTTACCATGTAGTCTTCCTTTTTGAAAATTACTGCAGGTTGACCTTGTTTGGTAGTTATCTTTGTAAGGGTAAATGCTATCGGTTTGATCTCCGCTGCATGCCTAGCTCTGAGTCTTGTGACATAGGAATGAGTAACAGTAGGAGGTGGTGGTGGTGAGTTACCTGCAGGTTAGTTTTGATTGGGAGAGTTGCTAAGCTGTGGGTTGGGATTAGTGATTGGTGGAACCTGTTTGACAGGCTGGGTGGATGGATCATTGTTTGTTGCAGGAGGTTTTTGGGTTTTTTTGGTGTTGGTAGGCCTATCAAAGTTGGCTGATATCTTGGGTGTGGCATTGACATTGGGAGTGGAATTTGGGTTAGATTGATTCTGAGGCAGCTTAGCTGTTGGTTGCATAGTTGAGGGAGTAGTAGTTGAGGGAAGAGTATTGACATTGGGACTGGCTGTTAAGGCATTACCTTTATCAATTATTGCATTGCTATCAGTAGAAGCAAGAGCAGCCTTCTGATTGGCAGTCTTCTATATGTCTAGAGAGAGTGATTGATCCTTGACTTTTTGTGTTGGAGCGTGTGAATTCTCTTGATGAGTACCTTCATGATGATCATGAGAAATTTGTAGTCCAGATTGGTTTCCCATTAGAGCACCATAGGTGTCTTTGACATTTGGTCGAGCACCTGAAAGTTCAGTGACTGCAGAATCACCAAACTGGATATTCGAGGGAATTGGTCCTTGGAAAATTGGATTTGAAGCTTGGGGATCAATCTCCTGAATACCAGGAGTAGTTTGGTATTGGTTTTGAAGCAATTGGTTCACCGGAACCTCCTGTCCGGCCAAATGATGCAGGACTGGGCTTGTCAATTGATCAATGTGATCAATTGTCTTTGAAGAATGAGCTGAAACTGTGCTTACCTGTTCCTCAGATGGTGGAGAAAGGTTTCCAATCAATGGTTGAGGTCCAGTTTGTCCAAATTGAGGGTTGTCGTTTTTATGAAAGTCTGATGAATTTTGAGTGCCTGGGTTCAATGATTTCAAAATTGAATTAGTAGATTGATACCCATATAAAATTGAAGGTGCTAAACTGATGTCCTCATTAGTGCGAGCATTTTGGTACCCTACATTCCCAGATTGGCCGGCGAGAACTCTATCGCCGGCGAGTTCTATGTTGCTAGCATTTTGCAGACGATCGTTGACATTGATTTCCACGGTAGAAATGGCTGATTTTTGGTGAGGATGTGCGTTTTGTGATGAAGAACAATCTCCATGGAGAGGAATAACCTTTTTTGTTCCAAAATTAACTTTGGAATTTTTTGAAGCTCTCAGGCTACTGTGTGCTACAGTGATCCCCTCACCTTTCCTTTGATTCGTAGCAGCTGGGGAAGTGTTTGGAAAAACTGGTTTGGGGGGGTTGTGCGCCTTGTTAAGGCGCTTCTTTGGTGACTTGACCGGTGGATTTTCACCGGTGGACGGCTTAGAACCGTCCATTTTCGTCGGAGCGGACACTGTAGCGAAAGATCACACTGTACGGAGAGAAAATTGTTTTTTGGCGGAGGAGGGGGGGATATCTGCTCCGCATGTCCTCCTCGGACTCCCTGGTTGCCTCCTCGACTGGTTGGCCCCTCCACTAGACCTTTACCACTGAAATCCTCCTGGATCTCAACTGGCAATCCTTTCTAGCAACAGTGGAAACTGGCTCCTCCTCATAACCCAAGCTTTCATCTAGCCGAATAGTGCTGAAGTCTAACACATGTGACAAGTCATCGTGATACTTCCAAAGCATAGACACGTGAAAAACTGGATGAACCCCTCATAGGTTGGGAGGTAAAGCAACCTCCCCAACTCACCTTAACACCTCAAATGGGCCTATAAACCTTGGGCTCAACTTGACCTTCTTTCTGCATCTCATAATCCTCTTCTTCGGCGAGACTTTCAAGAGAACCTTGTCGCCTACCATAAATGACACATCACGTGCCCTCTGATCCGCGTTACTCTTCTGTCTGGACTGTGCTATGCGTAGTCGTTCCTGAATCAACTTTACCTTTTCCAATGCATCCTTTACCGAATTAGTACCATATAAATTAGCCTCGCTGGGCTCAAACCATCCGATGGGAAAACGACATCGACGATTATATAAAGCCTCACATAGAGCCAATAACTGTTGTTGTAAGCAAAGTCGGCCAAAGGCAAGAAATGATCCCAGTGTCCCCCAAAGTCAATCACACATGCTCTGAGCATGTCTTCCAAGATCTGAACTATCCGCTCTGATTGCTCGTCGGCCTGTGGGTGAAACGTAGTGCTTGAGCTCTACACGAGTCTCTAACTCACTCTGTATGGCTCTCAAGAAATGCGAAGTAAACCGAGGGCCTCTATCTGATATGATAGAAAAAGGCACCCCGTGCAACCGAACTATCTCTTGAATATAAATCTAGCCCAACCTCTCTGAAGTACAAGTAGTCACAATCGGAATAAAGTGTACCGACTTGGTCAACCTATCGACAATGACCCAAACTACATCAAACTTCCGCAAGGTCCGCGGCAACCTAACTACGAAGTCCATAGTAATGCGCTTCCATTTCCACTCTGGTATAGTCATCTGCTGGTTAGGCGACCTGGCCTCTGGTGCTCATACTTAACCTGCCGGCAATTTAGGCACCTAGCTACATACTTAAATATGTCTTTCTTCATCCTTCGCCACCAATAATGTTGTCTCAGGTCACGATACATCTTCGTAGCACTGGATGAATGAAATACTGAGAACTGTGTTCCTCCTCTAGAATCTTTTCTCTTAAGCCATCGACATTAGAAACACATAGATGACCCTGGAGCCGCAAAAACCCATCCTCGGTTATAGAAACCACCTTGGTACCAACTTATAATACTATCTCTCTCAGAACTTCTAAGTGCGGATCATCCATCTGTCGAGCCTTAATATGCTCCAATAGTGAAGACTGAGCAACAACACATGCGAGAACTTGGCTAGACTCTAAAACATCCAACCTCAC